GTCCTGGGTTCAATCCCGGTCAAGGGCACATGCCTGGGTTGTGGGCTCGATCCCCAGTAAGGGGGTGTGTGTCGGAGGCAGCCGATCAATGATTCATCATGTTTCCCTCTCCCTCTCCCTTCCTCTTTGAAGTTAATAAAAATACATTTTTTAAAAATCTGGTTATTATTGAGCTCAAACCCAAAGCTCTGTACCTGTTTGTCCTGCAGCATCCACCCTCGCGATAAGCAGACTGTGGCCTACCGGCTGCACCTGGGGGCCCGCGCGGTGGCTTATGGGGAGAAGACGCTGACCTTCCAGGGACCCCTGCCCGAGAAGATGGAGCTCTGGGCCGGCCCGGGGCTGCTCAGCCTCACATATTCCCAGCACATCGAGGTGCGGAGGCAGGATGACAAGATATTTGAGGTGAGAATAGCAGGAACCATGGGGTTTCCTCCGAATGGGGAGATCAGGATTTCCTCCCCAGGGAGGCCCGCCTCTTCCATTTAACGTAACTTCGAGGCAGGGCTTGGTTGGTGGGGGGTTGAGTTGGTCTTAGAGGGGCAAATGAACAGCTCTTAATGATTTGCCTGGAGCGGCGACTTGCAACCCTTTTCATCTCCTGGCACACCTCAACTAATGACTAAAATTATTATTTTTCCCCAGTCTGACAAAAAAAAAAAATAGGTATGATTTTGATTCATTCACACACACATGGCTATTGTGTCGGCTGTTGTCATTTTTCCACTTGGCAATCTAAGCGAAAAGAGGTCAGTGCCCCTGATTCTATAGCCAGGTATTGCATGCTTTAAAAATTCATGCGGCACACCGGTAAGACAGTCGCTGACTTAGAGGCAGTTTTGATAGACGGGACAATCAAGGAAGGGGAAATGAGTCCATAGTTAAAGGATGCTCCTTTTGTATTTTCCCTCCAAGGCAGCCATCTTTGTTCTGGGCAGGGCCTGCAGGTTTATTTGCAGGTTGCCTATTGAAAAGGATCCTTGCTCCAGAGTATTTCCCTCACCCGTAGATGTCTCCTTCATCCTAAATGCGGATAGCCTTTTGAGTTTAGTGTCCCCTTGAAGAGGCTTACACGTGGTGATGTGGGGCTTAGTGTGAATTTGTTTAATGAAAGCACTTCCTCCTGAGGATTGTTGCACTGTGGCACCGGGGCTGTTGACTGAAGAGCTTCTTCTGTGGATGGAACGTTTCCACGGGTGTCTGGGAACCAAGGGGCCATTGCCGGGGTTGGGGCATCTGAAAAGTGGGCACTGGAGGAGATGAAAGAGTATTTTTGAAATTTTATTGATTCCTTACAGGGAGGATAAGAGAGGGATAGAGAGTTAGAAACATCGATGAGAGAGAATCATCGATCAGCTGCCTCTTGAACCCCCCCCTACCCCTCCCCGCTTGGGGATGTGCCCACAACCAAGGCACATGCCCTTGACCGGAATCGAACCCGGGACCTTTCAGTCCGCAGGCTGATGCTCTATCCACTGAGCCAAACCGGTTTCAGCTGAAAGAGTATTTAAAACAACTTCAATCACACGGGAGTTTACCTAGGGCAGCTTCTCCTCTGGAACCCTGACTACAGAACCTACTTATCTACCCGCCCCAAGTGATTGGCCAATGCTCATGCCACTTACCTTCTGGGCCCTGGGTTTTAGGGGAATTCTAGCTCCCAGGGAGCTTCTGCCTTCTGTTCTCCACGTTAGTCAGTATCTGGCAGTCCGTCCATCATCTGGACCCGGAATCACAGTTGCGGTCAGGCCAGAATTTAAGCTTGGGCACCGGATCATTTATGTTCCCTCCCCCGGGCTGCTGTCTGACTTAAGAAGGCCTCATTACCCAGAGTTCCTTTGCGGCCTCTCTTCATTCCTCAGCTCCGTGGCAGGGCCACGGGGAGCAGCAGCTTTCCCCTTTGTCAGGAAGGTGACAGCAAGGATGTTCGGGGAACCGTCCCCAAATGCTGCATGTGATTGTGCTTCCCCGTCTCCCTCGGTAGTTTAGGCTTTGTTGATTATTTGTTTCGTCACGTGAACATTTATTGTCCACCTGTGTCTGTAGTGACCAGACTGACTCGGATCTGCTCTGGTTACTGTAGAAAGTGGGTTCTTGGCCCAAAGTGGCTTTCTCTCCCTATTGTCTGCCTCAGAGAGCAGTTCCCAGCCTCTAAGAGCACCCTTCTGCCTGACCTGACCCTTCCTGTTTATGACTCTCTCGTTAGATCTCCTGCTGTGGTGACCATCAATGCAAGTGGCTTCCAGCGCCCATGAACACGTCCTCCGCCCAGACCCTGGCCCTGGATATCAGGTCTTGTCCCGGCGCCGTGGCTGCTCTCCGCTACGCCTGGGCCTCGTGGCCCTGTGAATATAAACAGTGTCCCCTCTACCACCCCAGCAGTTCCCTGCCGGCCCCTCCCTTCGTTGCTTTTATTGCAGACCAGATGCCTGGTCATCAGAGCAAGGCTGCTAAGTGATTTAGTGTAGTAGAAGCAGATCTTAGACATAAGTAAATGACAACAACCACAAGAAAAGATATAATTTTGATTCATTCACACCAACAGCTATTATTGTGCTGGCCTTTGGGTGTGTTTTTAATTTGGCAATCTAAGGGAAAAGAGGTCAATGCCATGACTAAACAGTTAGGTATTGCATGTTTTAAAAATTTGATTTGAGCATTTAGGAGTTTCAATGATGACAACTGTTGCTTTTAAAGGAAATTAACAGAAAAACTTCATCGGAGAGTTCCCAGCTAGCCTGGGGCTGTGTCTGTGTTCTGAGAGGAGCCAGGGCTGGTAAACAATGAAATGCCTGCCATTTGTCCTCTAGTTGGGCTGGTCCCTGTATTGGACTCATGCCAAACTACAAGCAAATTGGACCTCAATGCCATTCACTTCCTCCTAACTGAGAGTGAAACGTCTAGCTGACCCACATGGCCTTGAAGTTTCTTCCAACCCTCGTTTCCTCAGCTCTGGGTGTAAGAGGACAAAGTGTTAGACGTTCCTCCCTAAGCCAAGTTCTGCTCTTTCAGTTCCAATAATAATGTGGATGGTGAAAGCTAACAAAGCAGAACCTTGTGTAGGCATTTGGGGAATTGGAGGTCGCTGAGCAGCAGGCAGGTCGTTAGAGATAATTATGAGTCTCAGGCCCTGACCAGCATTGCTCAATGATCAGAGCATCCGCTCATGAACCCAAGGGTCATGGGTTCGATTCTGGTCAAGGGCACATACCTGGGTTACAGGTTCCCCTTCCCTATTGTGGGGCTTGTGTGGGACACAGCCAATTGATGTGGCTCTCTCACATGGATGTTTCTCTCGTCTCTCTCCCTCCCACCTCTCTTTCACTTGCTGTAAAATCAATGGAAAAAATATCCTCCAGTGAGGATCTTTAAAAATATTTTTTATTGATTTTTTTTTTTTTACAGAGAGGATAGGAGAGGAATAGAGAGTTAGAAACATTGATGAGAGAGAAACATCGATCAACTGCCTCCTGCACACACCCTACTGGGGATGTGCCTGCAACCAAGGTACATGCCCTTGACCAGAATCGAACCTGGGACCCTTCAGTCCACAGACCGACGCTCTATCCACTGAGCCAAATCGGTTAGGGCTCCTCCAGTGAGGATAAAAAACAAACAAACAAACAAACAAAAAAAACTGTCAGGCTTTTTAAAGGTAAGAGTTTTAACTAAAAAATCGATAATCCAGATGGAAGAAAAAAGCAAGGCTGAAAGTGAAGGACAGTGAAGCTACTTGATAAGTATTTAGAAAAAGCATCCCATGGGACAAACGTAAAAGAGGGCTCTTTTGTGTACTATTAAGAACCAACGCTATTTATTGGTTGATCAAAAACAGCTCACAGCTCTTGACAATTGTGTGTTGTCTGTTATAAGTTGGAAATAAAAGTGTAAGTCACACATTGTTTGAAGGGATAGAGTGAGAAATGCCTCAGTAGGCAATTTTGTCATGTGAACATGAGCGTCCTTACACAAACCTACATGGTGTAACCTGGGCTACAAGCCCATACAGCATGTTACTGGACTACCGTAGGCAGTGTTAACGCAGTGGTATTAGTGTACTGGGCATACGAGAGGCACGGTAACAAAATGGTTAAAGGATAAAAAATGGTGCTTCTGTGCAGGGCACTTACCATGGACGGAGCTGGCAGGACGGGAGTTGCTCCGCATGTCAGTGAAGTCAGTGGTGAGTGAATGTGAAGGCAGGACAGCATATGCACGACTACTCTAAATGAACATGAAATATTCTTCAATCATAAACTAACCTTCGCTTACTGTAACTTGTTGACTTTATGAACTAGATAATTAAGCTCAGGTTCCTTTTATCTCTCTCCCCCCCCCCCCCCCCCCCCGAAAACCTAGAGCACACAGTGTGAAAAATGAGGATTGGGGACTGGATATATTAATGAAATCATATAAGTTAATTTTTAATGGTTCAGTAATTGAAAACATCCCGTGGGAACTCTGCTTATTTCTCAAATGAAATAACATTTTGCTGTTTGAAAAATGAAATTTATAATCACTGTAGATGATTTGGATGCTAATAAAAAGTGTAGGCAAGTAAAAATCACCCCAAAATTCATCATTTGGAGAGAAACACTAATACTTTGGTGAACAGTCACTTGATTTGTTTGGGTCATATTTTAAATACTACACTGGGTATTATTTTAATCTGTTTTTCACTTATTCTAACAATTTTCCTATGTAAATTGAATATAGATTTAGTGTGTAACATTTTGTGGAAACCCCATTTTATTTTTTAATATTTTTATTAATTTCAGAGAGGAAGGGAGAGGTAGAAATAGAAATTGAAACATCAATGATGAGAATCATTGATTGGCTGCCTCCTGAACACCCCCTCACTGGGATGAGCCTGCTACCTGGGCATGTGCCCTTGACCAGAATCAAACCCGGGACCCCTCAGCCCTCAGGCCAACACTCTTATCCATTGAGTCAAACTGGCTAGGGCGGAAACCCCATTTTTAAAAAAAGTTCAGTTGATTTTTTGAGAAAGGAACATCTATTGGTTGCCTCCTGCACACAAACCCCCCAACTGACTGAACCCGCAACCTGGTTATGTGCCCTGACTGGGAATCGAACCTGCGAACTTTCAGTGAATAGGGTGACTCTCAGCCAACTGAGCTACAGTGGCCAGGGATGGGAGCTCCACTCTTTAACTAATTTCCCATTAGTGGACATCTAGTTTGTTTTTTTCCAATTTTTGCAGTATCACTTAATACTGTGATCATTGTTACTTGCAAACATCACATCACACTTAATTTCCTGAGGGCCCTTAATGTTGATTAACAGGTTTAGGATAAAAATATTTAAAATTTTGATACCAACAGGTTTCTCCTCCCAACGGATCAACAGTTTACATTTCCAACAACGTACAGTCCCATTTTTTATTTTATACTCATTGATATTGCATGTTGTCAAATCCATAAAATTCTTGAACAATTCAGAAAAGATATTTTAAGTATAATAAGGCTGTGTTTTCAAGTTTTTAAAAATGACCCACAGGAAATACACTGGACATTCCATGTATCTCCATACATGTGAATGCATGTGTGATATTTATATACATATATACACATCATAATCAATACCAAAGTTTCAATTTTCTGACATGCAATGCATTCCAATATATTCTAATTATTTTATTTTAAAAGGTGTACATCTTTTTTTTTTAATATATTTTTTATTGATTTTATACATAGAGGAAGGGAGAGAGAGAGTGTTAGAAACATCGATGAGAGAGAGTCATCGATCAGCTGCCTCTTGCACACCCCCACTGGGGATATGCCCGCAACCAAGGTACATGCCCTTGACGGGAATCGAACCCGGGACCCTTCAGTCCCCAAGCCGATGCTCTATCCATTGAGCCAAACCAGTCCCAGCTAAAAGGTGTACATCTTGAGTCCCTAAGTTTAAGGTTCTTTCTGTTTTTGGAAAGCTACAAAGTGAACTCTTTAATAAGCATAAAATGCACACTATTAAAAAAAAAAGTCTTTCTTAAAACGAGCTTCTCTTTTAATATGTTTTGCTCAAGCAGTAATGGAATGGAAAGATAATTTCTATTCTATATGATAAAAATTACATCTGTCATTTCTGTGTAAGAGATACAATACATCAGGCAACTATTAAGACATTAACAGCTTTAAGTAAAATTCTACCCTTGATTTTCCATATTCCAAAGTCTAATACTTAATTTTTGGACTGGTAAAAGCTATACACAATATAAAAAGACTATAACTAAGAATTATAAAATTAATGTTTCTTGCTTCTGATACTTTATAGTGATGTGTGGTGTGCTCTCAACGCTGCTGGGCCCCTCCCTCTGCTGGCCAGATTCATTCCTATAAAATCTGAATCCCATTTGCGTTGTCCCCAGTTGTAGTGCAGTAACAACCCAGTCCTCACCACTCCTTCCCCAATCTTCTACTTCTGGGGTCCTTTGTTCCTCCCATCCAGCCAGCCCTGGTACTGAGATGATCCTCACCGGGATGCCTCGCTGCCATCCAACCAGCTGCTGTGGTCAGGATGCGGTGATGTGGTGAGCCTTCACCTAATGCCATACGCAGACAGTTCAGTCGCTCTGAGTGCAGTTATTACATGGCTAATGAAATGACAGGGTGAGTCTGTTAGAGGCTGGGAGCCAATCCCCAATCCTGTCTAACTCTGCTATCATGAGTTTCAGTGTACTTTAGTTAAAAGCACCTTCTCCAATAAGAAGTCACAAAGCGGATGGAGAAAGTGTTAAAGATAACATGTTGACCCCCTCCAAGGGTATGTGCATGTGAAGAGATGGATGGAGTGTGCCTTGGGCTGGACTCTCCAGCGTGGGGATGAGGATTTGATTTTGATGACACCGACACGGAAACAGAACAGCCATTTCCAGTGCTGGGGCTGGGACTTAACATTCCTTGAACTAGGATCAGAGTCAAGGGTAGAAGGCTGTCGGGGTCTCACTCCTTTACAAGTCAGCCGCCATCTCTCACTCTGGTTACTACAGGACTTAAGTTTACTCTACCTGAGGCAGAGCTAAGCAAAACAGATCATATCCTGATGACAAGATGAAAATAAGCAGAGTTGTCAAGAGAAGTTTATTACTAAAAATAAAGCAGGTGAAGTTTTTCTCAGGGAAAACTCCACGACAAAATGTGTTAATCTTCACTTTTAAGTTGCTGCCTCTTTCCATGTATGTTAAGTTTTAGCTGAAGTTAAAGTCATCATGATGAAAAAGTGGTATCTGATCCAGATTCATTCTCGGTCAATCTGAAGAGTGTGCTGGGCTGCACTGCGACGGAGACTTCAGGTGCTGTAGGTGGTCCTCTACCAGGGGCTCGTCTGCCAGGAACATGGGCGGGTAAGACACAAAGGCTGTGGGCTGAAGCTCCGGGAGGTCCAGGGATCCTGGGGGGAAATTCCTTAAGTTTCAGTGTTGCCTAGAAATCTCAGGAGGCTGATCAGACACATATATGTTCCTTCAAATCCTTAGCATCCTTGCATCTGTCAGCCCAATTTCTTCCTTGTTGGGTAAGATAGGACAGATATTTACTTTTACTGTGGCTGAAGTAGATTTAAGTGACTTGCCTAAGGATCTGTAGTATATTAGGCAGAGTGAGCATTTTGTTGTTGTTTTTTATTTCCAGTTCAGGGCCCTCCCTATGATCCCAGTGTCAATCCCAATTGCTCCTTCCACTTATGGTAGAGAATCCATGGAACAGAGGCAGGACCAAGGCCTTGACCCGATCCCCTTTAGCCCACTTGGAATCTTAGTCCTGCATCATAAACTTTCCCCTGGAGTTCCACTCAGGGCTTAACCTCAGTAGAAAATGAGAAACTCTAGTTTCTCGGTGGGCCCTGCCTTACTATGATCACAGCCGTGCTCTGTGACTTCTGTGGGCACTGCTGGAGAACTGTACAGGTCCTCCTGGCTCAGGACTCTCCAAGACTGGACTAGTGAAAGCCTGAATCACTTACTGCCCAGACATTTGGGGAACTCAGCTATGAATGAAAAGGGCCTAAATATGGAAAACCTTCAAACCAGAAAGGTATTAAAAGCCTAGAGGCCCGATGCACGGAATTCGTGCAAGGGGCTCTGCCCTTGCAGCCCTGGCTTTGTCCGGAAGGTCGTTTAGCTGTCCGGTCTAATTACCATATTACACTTTTATTATTATAGATTACAGATACCTTGTAGAATAGGATCACTATGATCTTCATCAAAGGTCTGTCTCTGAAAGGCCTCAAAGCTTATAGCTGCATCATTCTCCAGCGGTCCTTGGGGCAGCTGCCCATCTCCAGGTCTGCACACATCATATTTCACCCACTGGTAACTGCAGGATCAAAGGGGATCATTAGTTAAGAGCTGTCTGCTAGCCACAGCCCAGTCTTTCCTCCCAATTCGATCAGGTGTTTTGTTTTTTTCTGTAGCTCTCTCCAGTATGTTCCTAATAACATATTAACTAAAAAAAATCCAGAAACTTTCAAAAGATGGAAAGGCTTCTTTTAGTAACACATTATTCTTCAGGTTTTCTTTGCTGCCATGGTAAACACAAAAAATGACAATTACAGTACATGGGGTACTGGCTTCTGCTTCCCTGTCCAGAGGCTAAGACAATACTGAGGTACGGTAGTCAAGGAACAAGCATGCTGTGCGCAGAAGCAGCTCCGTAAATGTACAAATGAACCAAACAGTTTAGGTCCCTGGGCCACTGATCATGGAACGGATTTGACCACACTTACTTGACACATTTTCGAGCTCCTGGACAGCTCTGGATCAGGTTGTGGATAGTCGGATGAGAAAACCCAAAAAAGTCAGCTCCAGATGGAAGCAGGTTAGACATTAATTTCCCCCTAAACAGGAGAGGAAGAACTTTAATCCGAGCGCGTAGAGGGAGATGAGATGGGCTTAGGGATGGAAGGTGGGCATGAACACCCAGAGTAAGCTTTCTTGACTTGGACACTCTGGAGACTAGCTGCTAAGACATCTGAAGGATGAAAAGAAGCATTTGATAAAATAGGGATCTCTGCTCATTAGAAGCAAGAGAAAAAGCCTCCCCCTACCAAAGTGATCTTTGTCTTCAAGCTGCTGGTCAACTTACGTAGTAGCGCTTATGGCCTTGAGCAGTTCTGCGTGACAGGCGTTTGCAGAAGAGCTGACAATGGCATTCTGAGGGTCATCTTCAGGAACGATTTCAAACTGAGAAAGAGAAAGGAGCCATGAGAGCACTTTTCAAGGAAAAAGTAGTAGAGAGGAAGTCATGCTAGCCCTGTAAGTGTTCTACACTCTGGGACTTGAAGCTGATGTAAACCATACCGGAGGTGGGTACAATTCCTTACAGAGCCATTTAAAATTCACACAAGTCAAAGAAATCAAAGTCCTTCAACTGTCTCAATTCAGTACTCCTGGCCTGACTGCTCTCCAGACCCCTTTCTATCTGCTTACACCTGTAAGTGCAAATGCAACTGCCATCTTACAAACATGTGAAGTCGTTCTCCATATCCTCTTACAACATCCAAGAGGAGTATAGGCCGTTTTAACTGCAAACCCCCATTTCAATTTCTGTATTTCTTAAATTGCAAAACACCTTGACTATTTACTAAAAAACTGTTAAACTAAAATTATACTAATACGAATTTTTGCCAAGGAAGTATTTTTGCAATAAGGGCTTTCCAATCAATTCCTCGACCGGTTTTCTACAAAGTTCGATACATTTTTGCGAAGAGAAATACCTGAGGCTGCGCACCACCATCCTTGATCTGACAGGTGTACAGACACTTCTGGCCCGGGCACTTCATGCTGGCATACACTCTAGTACTGCAGTAGCCCACAGGGTAGATGGCACTCTCGTCATGGAAGCCAGGGCGGTCGGTGATGATCTAGAAAAAAGATGCCCCCAACCTGCAGTTGAGGTCACTGGAGAATTCTGAGGTCCACAGGTAGCTTTTGGAACCACTTTGGGGCTGCAAAGAGTGACTCAAGTCACACTGAGAGTGTAGGCTATGTTGCAGACAAAACCCACCTGGTCCTGGGGACGAGATTTTCTGGGGTTGGTCTGGAACAGCCAGGGGCTGCTACTAGTGGGAAGAGGGAGGGAAGGCTCAACCCCATTCCCGTATTTCTGATTCGCCTCTCTGTGTTATCGCTGGTCTCACTCACCTCCCCCAGGCTATACACTGTTAGACCCCCCAGTCCGATGGGGAACACGGGCCGTCCTGAGGGATCCAGGGCAATGGGCTGAACCAGCTTGCGAGCACCTCCCTCCATTTTCTTTTTCTTGGATGTTTTCTTCAGAACTGAAACGCAAATCTGGGGTCACCCACTTTAGGCCCCTCCCAATGCTGAGGGGAAGGGAAAACTTTACATGTAAGTGCCAAGAGCAATAAGCCAACCCTGGTTCTACACACTCAATGAATGGGCACATGGGACTTTTCTCCAAAGCTTCAAGTATCTTTCTAACCCACCCACCTAGCAGTAACCACTTTTCATATTACTGCTTAGGATCCAAAACCCTTGTACTTTTAAAAATACATATATTGTTATTGATTTCAGAGAGGAAGGGAGAGATAGAAACATCAGTGAGGAGAAAGAATCGTTGATTGGCTGCCTCCTGCACTTCCCCTACTGGGGATCTAGCCTGCAACCCCAGCTTGTGCCCTGACTGGGAATCTAGGTTCATAGGTCAGCGCACAACCCCTGAGCCCCACCAGCCAGGCAAGCCTTTTAAGGCCTCTTACTTCACTTTTAAAGATCAGAAGTTTCCCAAGCCAGCAGTGTGCTCTAAAGGCCTCGTCGGTCATTTCCCCGCGTCTAGGAAAGACAGACCTGAAGGCAACCCAGAGAGGGGGGGATAGGGAAGAAGGCGGAAGCCTTAGCTGCTCCCTTCGCATTTGACCAGGTCTAACTGGAACTCTTCCACTCAAAGTGGCTCTGATCCACTTGTTTCTCCCAGGCTATTAGGGCTGCTGAAGGACCGTTTAAGGATATCTGTGGCTGTGAGTGTCTACCAGTTAGTATCAGGTCATTGTCAATAATTGCTGAGCCAATGGTGCAACGGGTATGTCCTCCGAGGTACCTTCCAGTTTGTTGTTCTCTTTGCCTTTTTCTTTTTTCTCCTTCTTGGATTTCTTCCCAAATGGTTCCTCAGCCCCAGTGCCAGGCCCGGAACTGGACCCAGCTCCCTGCAGGGTTCCCACAGAGCTGGCCACCCCGTAAGCCAGGGGCAGACTGGAGCTGTGAGCGGGAGTGGCAGGCGGCACTTCCCCTTCAGTCAGAGCCTGCAGCTGCAGGAGCTTCTTCAGCAGGTACCTGAGGTGGGAAGGAGATGTATGAACTTGCCTTTCATCTCAGGTCAGTATTTTAAGTTCTGGGGAAGCCAGAACTATATATAAAGATATTCTTATTAGACCCTGAATCAAGTTCCAGAGGGGAATACTCAAGGAGCCTAGATAAAGAATTGCAGTGTATCTCTTTGCATCTGGAAGGTATTAGGCTTCTGAAGGGCATCTACCATGAATTGCATATGTATATATACTCATTGTGCTTTGCACAGAGTAAATATTTACAGAATAAGAGAGTTTCTTTGGTGGAGTTATCATTAGATTACTCATCAGTTGGAGCAAGAGGGCTTTATCAGAGAAATAAATAGAGGAGCTGCCTCATCACTATTGATCTAACACGATCTGAGTGAACAGGAACCAAACCATAGGCTGTAGGTTTCTCTATACTTGGTCAGCGGCCAACGAGCTGTAGAATGCACAAAACTCCCACTGGAGAAAAATCCCCAGAGTAATAACCCCGTTTCAATCACCAAAACTGCGGTTCTGAACACAAAATGAAGTCAGCTCACCGTCTTTCTTCTTTTGCTTTAAGAAATTTTTCCTCAAGACGAGCGATTTCATCACAAATAGCAGCATTTTCCTTTAAAAAAAGGAACATATAATCACATAAAATGAATAAAAGTATTATGCTGGGAAGAAGAATTCTATTTCAAGCCAAAGTTGTCTTTGTTGCTAGATAAGAAGGAAGAAATATTCTACTTGCAAACTATAAAAGAATCTAGGTAATGGTCAGAGTAATAGAATTTATCAAAACTGGGGTATCTTTGAGTAAAAAGGGGGCACTATTAATGATTATACTAAGACAGTATGGGAAACTACTAGAAGCCCAGTGCACAAAATTCATGCATGGGAAGGGTCCCTAGGCTTGGCCAGCAAACAGGGCTGATCTGTGGGGCCCCTGCTGGCACCCACCTTGGCAGGCCTGGCACCGCCTGATCACTGGCCCCACCCCCCACCACTAGTCACCTCCTTCTGTGGGGGTGAACCAGGGGTGCCCACTGGCACCTGCCTTCATTTATCTAGAGCCTGTAGGCTGGGGGCAGCATCTGTGTTAAGCCTATGCCCCCTGGTGGTCAGTGCACATCATAGCTGCCAGTCTTCGGCTGTTCAGTCAATTTGCATATTAGGCTTTCATTATATAGAATGGGTGTTCTAGGCAAACCAAGATGTAAGTCGGTTAGCCTTTAGCAGAGAAAAGGGACTACTGCTTAAATCCACAGATGCTTAAATTTAATTCATAAAAATATGAATATCCACTTTGAGGGGCTTAGAAAACCAACCTAACCCAAAGCATCCCACATAATATGAATCCTAAAGAGAAAAATGGGATGGAACAAAATCAACTCCAGTGTGTAAAATGCTTAAACTTCCTTATCCAAGTACTGTCTGGTCTATACTGATGACTCCATCTATTTCCCAAGCCTCATTCATTCACTCGTTGGAAGTAATGAAGGAACTAGAATCGCGGTGTCTAAGTTGGTTAGGGCTCTGACTCAGCGCCCTCAAGCACATCATTTCACTGGGCATCGATGTTATTTTTTTAAAAAGTGCCTCCTTCTCAGGATTCTCTCGAAAACCAAAAGCATTTCCAAGAGTTTTGCGGTTATAACGATATTGGGTAAAACTTACGGACACATCGAGACACCAAACCTTTTCCCTTCCTCATTTAATCTTCACAGAGTAGATAATTCAATCTCACAGACAAGAAACAGGGTTACAGAAATAACGTGATCTGTCCAAGGACACAGGGCTACGGAGAAGCCACGCATACTGCAAAAGCTAACCCTGGGCCACCCCCAACTCTCCAGGGAGGGAACGGTTTGGGGAAACATTTCGCGGACTCGGGTGTCGAGGCGAAGGGCCGGGCGGCGTGAGACTCACAAACACCGTGGCTTTGGCGGCTTTTCGCAGCCGCAGGTACTTGAGCCGGTACTTCTCGTTCTGGCTCCGCCTCGGGAGCCTTTTCATCTTGGCCCTGAACGGCGAGGGGGCGAGGCCGCCCAGCAGGCTCATGGCCCGGCCCCGCTGCGGGGCCTCCCGGGCTCGGCGGGCATCGGCGTCCGGCCGAGGGGCGGCGTGGCGCCCGGCTCGGCGGGTCTGCGCTGGTGGAAGCGGGTCCAGAGGAACCGATTTCTCCAAAACGCTCTTAGGGGCGCGCTAGGCCGGAACCCACAGCTACAGGCAGCGCCTCCCGTCTCCGCAGCTCCGGAAGTAACATTGCCCGGAAGTTGCGTCACGGCGCCGATTAACGTAAAGCACGGCGCCGGATGACGTAACCCTCAGTCACTCGCGACAGCGCGTGCGTAGCAGGCGACTGTGAAGGTAGGGCGGAGGCTGGAACCGGCGGAAACCCTCCCCCAGCGCGAACCTCAGGCTCCCACAGCCCACGGCTGTCAACACCAGCTTTTACACTGGGTACCCGCAATCTTTCAGTTACGGGATAGTAATTTTGCATATTTATTTCCACGTTGTTTGACTTTTTGGTCATCAATTGCTGCAGAGAGCATCTTCGTGCACAAAGCTTTTTCCATACAGAATTGTTCAGAGGCTGGGTCTCTGTGCTCCAGACAGTGTAATGTTATCAAGCAACTCATCCGGTCACTGATTTATCCAGAAGAATATGTAGTTCTTATCAGGGCAGGATGTTTAGGAAACTTATTTAAGAGGGAGGGCCACACAGATAAAAAGGAAATATTAATACAGTGGAGTCAGTTTTATCTCAGGCAGGTAGTGGATGATATGGCAGCACCCAATTAGGGAAGGATTTTTATTTTTTTAAAGTATTTTTATTGATTTTAGAGAGGAAACAAGAGGAAGAGAGAAAGACAGAAACATCTATGATGAGAGAATCACTGAGCCTCTGCCTCTTGCACACCCCACTCGGAATCGAGCCCACGATCCCGGCTTATGCCCTGACTGGAAATTGAACCGTGAACTCCTGGTTCATAGTTCGATGTCCAACTCCTGAGCCACCCCAGTTGGGCGGGAAGGCTTCTTGAATGTGCCCAGACTGACTGAAGAGAGAGGAACAGGAGGGCACCTTGGGCACTGGGGACAGCATATTCTAAGATCATGAGAAGCATAGCCTTAGAATATGCTGTCCCCAGTGCCCAAGGTGCCCTCCTGTTCTTGTTCTATACTGTCCTTCAGCCCCCAAATGCATGTTACAAGTCCCTGCCATAATTTCCTCCTGCCCACTTTGCAGGGCACAGGGGTCCTGGCCAAACTTGATGACTATCACAAAACAAGCTGGGCACAATCCTAGGGTTTCAGGCCACACCAGAGTGTTCTCAGGGATTTCATATACATATATATATATATATATATATATATATATATATATACACACACAAGAAAACAAAAAATAATATATATATATATTAATATATATATTATTTTTTGTTTTCTTCTTTGGGTTTCATATCTTTAGTCTCTTACCAGCTCACCCCACTGCTGAGTACATATCCCTGAAGGACCATGGAGTGCATATAGAGAGAAGAACCTGCCTGCATAGAATGTCCATAATTTTAGTTCTGGCTTTTCCCCCCTTAGAGTGCTCTAGGTCTAATTTTTTAGTTCTTTGACTCTTCAGCTCTAATTTTCAGATTTGTTACCATGTGTTGATCATCTCTTCTCACCTTTAGGATAACACACTACAGGATATATTATAATTCAGCTGAATCCAAGCTTAGCAATTTTAAAGTAGATATATATTTTTTGTGATAGTGTGTGAGGCTTATGAGGAAGGAGAAAGACTTACCAGTAAAATTTCTTGCTCTATGGTTTCTTTAAAAAAAAAACAACCACAATATTTTATTGATTTTTTTTACAGAGAGGAAAGGAGAAGGATAGAGAGTTAGAAACATCGATGAGAGAAAAACATCAATCAGCTGCCTCCTGCACACTCCCTACCGGGGATGTGCCCGCAACCAAGATACATGCCCTTGACCGAATCTAACCTGGGACCCTTGAGTCTGCAGGCCAACGCTCTATCCACTGAGCCGAACCGGTTAGGGCGCTTTATGGTTTCTTAACTACGGGTTCTCATCACTGATCTGGCGAGTGAGGTGTTTCGGTTTTGAGGGTTCTAAGCCAGCTAATAAAGTCATGAAATCGACCACCGTGTCAATGTGGTGCTTCTGGGTGGTCGTGTCCTTCAGCACACATAAGACACTCAACCAGCTGAAAGAGATGAGCTCCGAGATGTTGGCTCGGAGGAAGAGGAGGATCACGTTGAGGTCGTTGATGGGGCACCCCAGCATCTTCCTGCTGAGGAGGTCGAATGCCGGGAGCATCTCATAGATGGACAGAAGCCGTTTGTCCCACCGACACAGCCGGGTGAGGTTGTAGATGATCACTGGCACCAGGAGGGTGTAGATGGCTAGCGTGGAGAGACTGACGATCTGGAAGACAGACAGGGAGGTCAGCCGGCAGGTAATGAGATCGGGGACGTCGGTCTCATCGCTGAGCAGCTCCGTCTTGACAGAACAGCTGAATTCCTTTTGGAAGAAGATGTCCAGGTGGAAGTGGCCCAGGTACAGGTAGGTGGCCGAGGTGAAGAGGAGCAGGAGTGAGTTCCGCAGGAGGTAGGTGGCCACCAGCGAGTGTGAGCGCTGCTTGCATGCCAGGTACCGCTCCAGCAAGGGGAACTCAAAGTACCGTTCTCCACGGGCCCTGGGCAGGGGAAGAGAGGAGGCAGGGTCAGGAGGGGTCTGTGGAGAACTGTATCCTGAGGGAGCCACGTGGAAAAGTACCAGACTCTGTGTACCCGGGATGGCATTCTTAACCGTGAAAACCTGCCTTCTCGGCATCACCACCCTCCTCCCAAAAGGAGGCGGTAAGCAAGTACATCTTCATTCTCTGAGCAGTGAGTGCACTGCAGTCAACCAAGTGAACGATCCATGAGTGATAAATTGCCACAATGGATTTCTGCCCAGCAAGGCGGAGTAAACCTCTGAGCAAAAGAAGTGGGATCCTTAGGAAGCAGTAAGGCTTATTCAATTAGCACCAGACTGGGAGTCTACATAAGCCTATTCTGGTTCTTGTTCTGAATACTCTGTGATTTTTATGCCAATTCATTTAGTTTATTAAAATAAATGTGCGCCCTAGCCTGTTTGGCTCAGTGGATAGAGTGTCGGCCTGCAGACTGAAGGGTCCCGGGTTTGATTCCCGTCAAGGAATCGATTCTCAGTAGGGGGTGTGCAGGAGGCAGCCAATCAATGATTCTCTCTCATCATTGATGATTCTGTCTCTCCTTTCCCTTCCTCTCTGAAATCAATAAAATATATTTTTAAAAATTCCTTAAAAATAAGTGTGCTAGAAAGTACTGGTAGAGAGCTGTGATATTCAGGTATATGTAATATGTAAGCCAGTCTGTTCGGAAGGAGCTTACAGTCTGGCTTGTGGGGAAGAGGCAGATAAGCTACGCATACATGAAACAAAAACAGCTCTTGGTTTGTCGTTAAAATGATGACTACAAACCATGCTCGTTGTAAATTAGAAGAGAGAAGAACCGTAGGGGCTGGAATGTTCAGAAAACTTTATGGAGGATATTGTCCTAGACGTGGCCTTCAAGAGGGTAGATAGGTTTCAGAAAAGAGTGTGTGCGTAATCCTGAAACAGAATATGGCTTCAAATCTTAGCTCAACCATCCTCTTGTGGGGCCCACCCTGGCCGTTCTATTTAAAGCCATACCACTCCACAGCCTCGCAGCTTTCCTGACCACCCCCACCCTTCCCCTGCTCTACCGTTTTTCTTCCCGCCACTTATTTTCCACCATATAATTATGTGTTTATGATTATTCGCTGTGTGTCTTCCCTTGGTAGAATATAAGCCCACATGGGGAGGTGTAGCTTTGTCTTCTCCCTACCTCTGCCCCCCAGTACACACATGGACACACATCTAAAGCACCCAGAACAGCCCGGCCGGCATGGCTCAGTGGTTGAGCATGGACCTATGAATCAGGAGGTCATGTTTGATTCCTGGTCAGGGCACATGCCCGGGTTTTGGGCTCGATCCCCAGTAGGGGTGTGAAGGAGGCAGCCGATCAATGAGTCTCTCTCATCATTGATGTTTCTATCTCCCTCTCCCTTCCTCTCTGAAATCAATAAAAATGTATTTAAAAAAAGAAAAAGTGCCGGAACCGGTTTGCCTCAGTGGATAGAACGTCGGCCTGCGGACTGAAAGGTCCCAGGTTCGATTCCGGTCAAGGGCACGTACCTTGGTTGCCGGCACATCCCCCGTGGGGGGGGAATGCAGGAGACAGCTGATCGATGTTTCTCTCTCATCAATGTTTTTAACTCCCTATCCCTTTCCCTTCCTCTCTGTAAAAAAATCAATAAAATATATTTAAAAACAAACAAATAAAAAAGAAAAAGCAGTTGGTGGCAGAGTATGTAGAGGGCCTTGGGGGAATGTGAATATTTTTTCTATATGCAGGAGGGGAGCTGTTGGAGGTTTCTGAGCAGGAAGTGGTATATGAAGTCGTTTTTAGAGTGATGAATCCCTTTTTAAAAATATATATGTTTTATTGATTTTTTTACAGAGAGGAAGAGAGAGGGAGAGAGAGTTAGAAACATCAATGAGAGAGAAATATCGAGCAGCTGCCTCCTGCACACCTCCCACTGGGGATGTGCCTGCAACCAAGGTACATGTCCTTGACCAGAATCAAACCTGGGACCCTCCAGTCCGCAGGCTGACGCTCTATCCACTGAGCCAAACTGGTTAAGGTGATTAATCCCTTTCTGACCATGTTCCTCTGCAAACTGGAGGCAGAGTCCGTTCTCCTCTCCCGGTACACGTGGTAGGAAGTTAATAAGAGGAGGTGTTCACCGTTGTGCCATCTTGAGAAGGATGGTATAGAGCAGGGGTGGGGAATGTCTGACCCTTGGGCCATATAAGGCCCAGGACATCATTTGATCTGGCCCTGCCAAGGCATTAGGGGTGAGTTAATTAAACGTTTGACCAAATACAGGGGCTAATTTTTAAGCTGATAATTTTGTATGGCCCTCGAATGATGTTATAAATATCTAAATGGTCCTTGGCAGGAAAAAGGTTCCCCAAACCGGTTTGGCTCAATGGATAGAGCATCGGCCTACGGACTGAAGGGTCCCGGGTTCGATTCCAGTCAAGGGCATGTACCTTGGTTGTGGGCACATCCCCAGTGGGGTGGGGGGTGCAGGAGGCAGCTGATCGATGATTCTCCCTCATTGATGTTTCTAGCTC